CTCCTCTCTCTCTCTCTCCCTCTCTCTTCTCCTCCTCTCTCTCTCTCTCTCTCCCTCTCCTCCTCCTCTCGTTTCTCTCCTCTCTCTCCTCTCTCTCTTCTCTCCCTCTCTCTCCTCTCTCTCCTCCTCCCTCCTCTCTCTCTCTCCCTCCTCCCTCTCCTCTCTCTCTCTCTCTCCCTCCTCCTCTCTCTCTCTCTCCTCCCTCTCTCTCATCTCTCTCTTCCTCTCTATCTCTCATCTCAGCCCAGCCTGAACGAGCAGCTCTGGTGTTTGTTAGTGGTGTGTGTCTGGGTCTCCTCCTCACCCTCTGTGCCCTCGTGGTCCAGATACACTGCCGCACCGACTGTCACTACAATAACCGACGACGACATCACCATCAGCATAGCAACAGGCATCACCATGGGGACCATCACTGTCACCACCATAACCAACCTGGCAACCCTAACACAAGCAATCCTGGCATAACCACAGAGACGAGCGAAGACAGCGAATCAGTGGACTGGGACGACGGGACTTCTGACCTATCGGCTCGACGACGGAGACGCTTTGAGAGAACGCTGCTGCACACCAGCGTGTTCACATCCGCAGAAGGTAACACACACACACACACTACGTTGTACTTTGTTGTTTTTTTATGGTTAAGTGTACAGTGCATTATTTCGTTAATATTGTTGGTTTGGTTGTGTTTTGGTCTGTAGAGTTGGAGCGAGCTCAGAGGGTTGAGGAGAGAGAGAGGATCATACGAGAGATCTGGATGAACGGACATCCTGACATCAACACTGTCACACGCAGCCTCAACAGATACTACTGACAAGGACAGAGACCAGAGGGGAAACGAGAGACAGAGAGAGATGGATAGACAGACAGAGACCAGAGGGGAAACGAGAGACAGGGAGAGATGGATAGACAGACAGAGACCAGAGGGGAAGCGAGAGACAGGGAGAGATGGATAGACAGACAGAGACCAGAGGGGAAACGAGAGACAGGGAGAGATGGATAGACAGACAAACAGACAAATAAAGGATAGTGATATGATGCACTTTTAGACAAGGTAGCATTGACAGGCTGGTGAAGCCCAGCTGTGGACAGGACTGTTAGCCAGGGAAAGGATGAGGGAGGGAGGGAGGGGACAATGACACTGGGCCACAGAACCATGGGTGTGTCAGACATAACACCAGACTTATGTCACGGCGAGATATGAACCCGGGTCCCCCGCAGGAGAAACCAACATCTTGACCATTAGACCAAGAGGAAATTACCAAGAGCCCCCATGACCCGACTCAGGTCCACTACAGTTATGCCAACCCACGGCTTTTAGATCTGTGATGGGGCGGGAGCAAGTGCACACTTCACACTAGAGGAGAGAAGTGTGGAATGAGAATGCAGCCTGATTGTGGCCCAGGATGATTCCTCTGGGGTCAGCCCCCTCCTAATACTGAGGTGGATGTTGTCACCAACCTGTGAGCACACTGTGCTGTTCCTGATACCATCCCCATCACCGTTGACAAAGGCCCACAATTCACCTCTGTGGAATACTCTGATTTCCTGGCTGAACATTACACACTACGTTGTACCTGACTGGCACGGTCATACACAGCACTGTTCACTACCAGGACAAGGACCACAGAGAAAACCTGTGAACTAAAATGTCAAGTTTGCCTTCACTCAATCTTAATGTATATTTAATTGATCCACTGTTGTATTTTGTAAATAAATTCATTTTTTATAAAATAGCAACACTTTGTTAGTTTGTCTCAGGGATGCTTTTAAGGGTTGTTGTTGGGGAAATGTTTTGTATTTATATATAGCCCTTTAGAAGGCTGGATGGAGCCACCACCATATTGCAATAATAGAAATGTGTTAGGCGCTTATATTTGTCCTATTCCACACATGTACATGTGTGCTTGTGTGAATTGGAAATGTGTTTTTTGCATATCCCAACTCCACCTGAGACACCCACGGAGAGGGTCAGCCATTGCTAATGCCTATCTGGTCCCTTCAGCTCTGCTAACACTGAGGCGGTAACTAGAGTCTCTACGATACGTGTTGCTTTTGGAGTGACGTGTGGTGGTGCAACACTACATTGTGATGTTTTCAACGGGGCATCACAGGGTAAACGGTGCAACACAGTAGTAGTATTATCTCTGCATCATTTCTGGGTGTTTCCCCTAGCTTGTCTCCTGTATTGGAAAAACTGTCTGTAAAGTGAACACTTGTTTCTCTGCAAGAGGTTCTGTATGTACAGTATGTATGCCTCGCTTCCTTGAAGTAACCACATATCTGAGACAGGTGGATAGGTGAATGCAGTAGGATGGAGGATAGGTGATCGCAGTAGGATGGAGGATAGGTGAATGCAGTAGGATGGAGGATAGGTGAACGCAGTAGGATAGAGGATAGGTGAACGCAGTAGGATGGAGGATAGGTGAGCGCAGTAGGATAGAGGATAGGTGAACACAGTAGGATAGAGGATAGGTGAACGCAGTAGGATAGAGGATAGGTGAACGCAGTAGGATAGAGGATAGGTGAACACAGTAGGATAGAGGATAGGTGAACACAGTAGGATAGAGGATAGGTGAACACAGTAGGATAGAGGATAGGTGAACACAGTAGGATAGAGGATAGGTGAACGCAGTAGGATAGAGGATAGGTGAACGCAGTAGGATAGAGGATAGGTGAACGCAGTAGTATAGAGGATAGGTGAACACAGTAGGATAGAGGATAGGTGAACGCAGTAGGATAGAGGATAGGTGAACGCAGTAGGATAGAGGATAGGTGAACGCAGTAGGATAGAGGATAGGTGAACGCAGTAGGATAGAGGATAGGTGAACACAGTAGGATAGAGGATAGGTGAACGCAGTAGGATAGAGGATAGGTGAACGCAGTAGGGTAGAGGATAGGTGAGCGCAGTAGGATAGAGGGTAGGTGAACGCAGTAGGATAGAGGCTTTGCCACCTTGCTCTCACTTATACAATCATTATACAGATCAGTGATTTCCTCAAGGAAGGGAGAAAATAAGGAAATACAATTGAATTGAAGGATACTATTTAAGCACTCGAACAGGGAGTGGATGACTGAGACCAACACTCTGCCCTTGATTGAATAACAAAACCCTCTAGAAACAAATGTTCTGTTCTGGTCTGCCCTGTCCTGTCTTGTTCTGGTCTGTGCTGTCTTGTTCTGGTCAGGTCTGGTCTGCCCTGTTCTGGTCTGTTCTGGTCTGTTCTAGTCTGGTCTGCCCTGTTCTGGTCTGTCCTGTTCTGGTCTGTCCTGTTCTTGTCAGGTCTGTCCTGTTCTGGTCAGGTCTGTCCTGTTTTGTTCTGGTCTGTCCTGTTCTGTTCTTGTCAGGTCTGTCCTGTTCTGGTCAGGTCTGTCCTGTTTTGTTCTGGTCTGTCCTGTTCTTTTCTTGTCAGGTCTCTCCTGTTCTGGTCAGGTCTGTCCTGTTTTGTTCTGGTCTGTCCTGTTCTGTTCTTGTCAGGTCTGTCCTGTTCTGTCCTGTTCTGGTCTGTCCTGTCCTGTTTTGTTCTGTCCTGTTCTGGTCTGTCCTGTTCTTGTCAGGTCTGTCCTGTTCTGGTCAGGTCTGTCCTGTTTTGTTCTGGTCTGCCCTGTTCTGGTCTGTCCTGTTCTGGTCTGTTCTGTTCTGGTCAGGTCTGTCCTGTTCTGGTCTGTTCTGGTCTGTTCTAGTCTGGTCTGCCCTGTTCTGGTCTGTCCTGTTCTGGTCTGTTCTGGTCTGTTCTGGTCAGGTCTGTCCTGTTCTGGTCAGGTCTGTCCTGTTTTGTTCTGGTCTGTCCTGTTCTGTTCTTGTCAGGTCTGTCCTGTTCTGGTCAGGTCTGTCCTGTTTTGTTCTGGTCTGTCCTGTTCTGTTCTTGTCAGGTCTGTCCTGTTCTGTCCTGTTCTGGTCTGTCCTGTCCTGTTTTGTTCTGGTCTGTCCTGTTCTGGTCTGTTCTAGTCAGGTCTGTCCTGTTTTGTTTTGTTCTGGTCTGTCCTGTTCTGTTCTTGTCAGGTCTGTCCTGTTCTGTCCTGTTCTGGTCTGTCCTGTTCTGTTCTTGTCAGGTCTGTCCTGTTCTGGTCTGTCCTGTTCTGGTCTGTTCTGGCAGGTCTGTCTATGAGCTTATACTGCCATCTGCTGTTGACTGTAATGTACTACACTTTTTCAATCCCTCCAAAACAAGGCAGTAGGCATGAAGGGTGCTTCCTCTCCTCATCTCCTTCCTCTCCTCATCTCCTTCCTCTCCTCATCTCCTTCCTCTCCTCATCTCCTTCCTTTCCTAATCTCCTTCCTCTCCTCATCTCATTCCTTTCCTCATCTCATTCGTTTCCTCATCTCCTTCCTCTCCTCATCTCCTTCCTCTCCTCATCTCCTTCCTCTCCTCATCTCCTACCTCTCCTCATCTCATTCCTTTCCTCATCTCATTCCTTTCCTCATCTCCTTCCTCTCCTCATCTCCTTCCTCTCCTCATCTCCTACCTCTCCTCATCTCCTTCCTCTCCTCATCTCCTTCCTCTCCTCATCTCCTACATCTTCTCATTGCCATCCTTTCCTCATCTCCTTTCTCTCCTCATCTCCTTCCTCTTCTCATCTCCTTCCTCTCCTCATCTCCTTCCTTTCCTCATCTCCTTTCTCTCCTCATCTCCTTCCTCTTCTCATCTCCTTCCTGTCCTCATCTCCTTCCTCTACTTCATCTGCATTCTGCAAAGATAATTTAACAATTTGATCCATGAATAGCAATTTCTATCTATAGTGGTCAAGGAGGGACATAAAAACCTTGAAGTTACAGCCTACATCATTTTTTTGTCTCTTAAGTCTCTTAAACAATAGAGTGATAGCACAAATCTTTGGTAATATTCTTAGTTATTTGGTAACCATCGGGAGAATAATATGTTATTCTAATACAGGAGACTTATACTGTATTAACTATCTAATAAAAGTAATGTTGTACCAATTTGATTAATTAGTTAAAAATGACTGAAAAAACCCACAGACTGTGGCTTTAATGCGCGGCCATGACGTCAGAAGCAATCTTCAAGGGAGAACGGAGCAGAGCACCGGGTACCCTTCCTTGGAACGGACGAGTCTATGCTGCTGCGTGGGACTCATCACAACATTGCAGATCAAGATTCTACATCTCCGTGATGAGACAATACACCACGTCCCGGGCCATGGCCAGTCGGGGAGCCTCGTGCGTGGCCTGCTGCCATGTTTGCGTTTTCGCGTTTACTGCATTTCTCATTGTGGCTGAGCGGACTGCGCGTGAGTTTAGCACTGCCGTTAACGACAACGACCGAAACACACACACACCCCTCCAGTGATGGAGATAGGCCTGCATTCTCTCACCACACCTAGGCTACAATCACAGCAATACAGTGTTAAACCAGGGAAGGTTGCATGGTTTCATTCATATTTCCTAAAGTAATTCATTTTTTAATTTGCATTTGCAGATACATTACGATCTGTATAGGTCCGTGCATCACTAGTGTCGATCTATATTTACCAAGGTGTTACGAAAACATGCAGCAGCCGCCGCGAACAACATATCTGCTGTAGCTGAAGTTATGCTAATAGAAAAGTGGCGCATTTCTGTAATATTCGAGCGCCTTTTTCTATGTGCCATAAATGGACAGGGGAATGGGCGGACCCTACTCTCTCTCCTACCCGCCGGTCTGGTCCGGCAGATGGTTCATATTACTGGGACAGGGAGAGAGAACGAGGGAGGGCGGGGGAGTGGAGAGGAAAGGAGAGGCAGATATGGAGGGAGAGAGCACCGCATCGTTCAGTAAGTGGCTCTGGAGGCAGGAGGCGCGTGCATTTTGTAGCCTATTAGAGCTAGGAGACAGCAGCAGCATCACCCAGGGCCTACCCGGTCCTCAGCCTATAGTCGTGATAGAGGTCACATGCACACACACACAGATGTTGAAACTGTCTTCATTGTTCTACTGCTTATCACATTTGCCGTTTGGGAAAATATATTACACATTCATTAGAAAATTACATATTGATTACGTTTTAATTAGCATTCTCCTCTGTGTCTTGGGTGTTATGGACAATTTGGTACCATGTGTGTCCAGTTTGGTACCATGTGTGTCCAGTTTGGTACCATGTGTGTCCAGTTTGGTACCATGTGTGTCCAGTTTGGTACCATGTGTGTCCAGTTTGGTACCATGTGTTTCCAGTTTGGTGCCAGGTGTGTCCAGTTTGGTACCAGGTGTGTCCAGTTTGGTACCAGGTGTGTCCAGTTTGGTACCAGGTGTGTCCAGTTTGGTACCAGGTGTGTCCAGTTTGGTACCATGTGTGTCCAGTTTGGTACCATGTGTGTCCAGTTTGGTACCATGTGTGTCCAGTTTGGTGCCAGGTGTGTCCAGTTTGGTACCAGGTGTGTCCAGTTTGGTACCAGGTGTGTCCAGTTTGGTACCATGTGTGTCCAGTTTGATACCATGTGTGTCCAGTTTGGTACTATGTGTGTCCAGTTTGGTACCATGTGTGACCAGTTTGGTGCCAGGTGTGTCCAGTTTGGTACCCGGTGTTACCAGTTTGGTACCATGTGTGTCCAGTTTGGTGCCAGGTGTGTCCAGTTTGGTACCAGGTGTGTCCAGTTTTTTAAATGTTGACCTAAGTACCAAACAGTGCCCATTATTGTCACATTATTTTTATGTAAACACCAGCTGCCATTACACTACAAAATACGGCCTGTGTGTAATGTCCTGTATCATCTCTAATGATCTACGTGTGTGTGTTTGTGTGTGCGTGTGCGTGTGAGTGTGTATGCGTCCACAGTGATCTACTGTTTTGTGTACTACCTGTGGGTGGGGCATAACTACTGTTACGCCCACTGGGCGGGGCTTACGGCCTTGTTCCTCCTCCCTGGGTGGGGTCCCCAGTTGCTCAGTTGGCTGTGGTACCAGGCGGATGGACGTATACGCAGCAAAGACCTCAAATGGACTCACATCCTACACCTGGGCATCTTTAGAAGGTAACGTACCACTGTAGTACCTCTTTGGGGTCAGAGGTCAGCGATGAAACAAGAACACTCTCTGACTCTGTGTTGTGTTCCAGGTTATGGGAGACTATGACGTCCGCTAGAGAGGATCAGTGTAGCGAGATAATGCAGCAGGCTGACGTTTCAGCTCTCCGCCTGCTGGAGGCGCTGGTGGTCACTCTGCCACAGACCGTCCTGCAGACGTACGTCCTCATCTGTACCGATGTAGGACTGTCTTCACCAGGTAGGAAAGGGGGGATACCTAGTCAGTTGTACAACTGAATGCATTCAACTGAAATGTGTCTTCCGCATTTTAACCCAACCCCTCTGAATCAGAGAGGTGCGGGGGCTGCCTTAATCGACATCCATGTCATCGGCGCCCGGGGAACAGTGGGTTAACTGCCTTGCCCAGGGGCAGAACGACATATTTTTACCTTGTCAGCTCGGGGATTCGATCCAGCAACCTTTCGGTACTACACGTGTGTCTGTGTGTGTATATTTTAATTTTTTATTAGGGGGTAGATCAGCTTTAATACTGCAGATAGATTGTAGCTTCCATCAATGTAATTGTCTGCATCATTTCTAATCCCCCATATATTTTTTTGTAAATATACACTACCGTTCAAAAGTTTGGGGTCACTTAGAAATGTCCTTGTTTTCGAAAGAAAAGCAATTTTTTTGTCCATTAAAATAACATCAAATTGATCAGAAATACAGTGTAGACATTGTTAATGTTGTAAATGGCTATTGTAGCTGGAAACTGCTGATTTTTAATGGAGTATCTACATAGGCGTACAGAGGCCCATTATCAGCAACCATCAGTCCTGTGTTCCAATGGCACGTTGTGTTTGCTCATCCAAGTTTATCATTTTAAAAGGCTAATTGATCATTAGAAAACCCTTTTGCAATTATGTTAGCACAGCTGAAAACTGATTAAATATGGCCTTCTTGAGACTAGTTGAGTATCTGGAGCATCAGCAATTGTGGGTTCAATTACAGGATCAAAATGTCCAGAAACAAACTTTCTTCTGAAACTCATCAGTCTATTCTTGTTCTGAGAAATGAAGGCTATTCCATGCGAGAAATTGCCAAGAAACTGACGATTTCGTACAACGCTGTGTACTACTCCCTTCACAGAACAGCGCAAACTGGCTCTAACCAGAATAGAAAGAGGAGTGGGAGGCCCCGCTGCAGTTTGAGAAACAGACGCCTCACAGGTCCTCAACTGGCAGCTTAATGAAATAGTCCCCGGAAAAAAACCAGTCTCAACGTCAACAGTGAAGAGGTGACTCCAGGATGCTGACCTTCTAGGCAGAGTTGCAAAGAAAAAGCCATATCTCAGACTGGCCAATAAAAACAAAAGATTAAGATGGGCAAAAGAACACAGACACTGGACTTTTTCTTTGCAACTCTGCCTAACACACGAAATTTGCTATGAGATGCGAAATTGAGCTCAGGTGCATCCTGTTTCCATTGATCATCCTTGAGATGTTTCTACAACTTGATTGGAGTCCACCTGTGGTAAATTCAATTGATTGGACATGATTTGGAAAGGCACACACCTGTCTATATAAGGTCCCACAGTTGACAGTGCATGTCAGAGCAAATACCCAGCCATGAGGTCGAAGGAATTGTCCATAGAGCTCAGAGACAGGATTGTGTCGAGGCACAGGTCTGGGGAAGTGTACAAAAACATGTCTGCAGCATTGAAGGTCCCCAAGAACACAGTGGCCTCCATCTTTCTTAAATGGAAGAAGTTTAGACCACCAAGACTCTTCCTAGAGCTGGCCGCCCGGCCAAACTGAGCAATCGGGGGAGAAGGGCCTTGGTCAGGGAGGTGACCAAGAACCCGATGGTCACTCTGACAGAGCTCTAGAGTTCCTCTGTGGAGATGGGAGAACATTCCAGAAGGACAACAAATCTCTACAGCACTCCACCAATCAGGCCTTTATGGTAGAGTGGCCAGATGGAAGCCACTCCTCAGTAAAAGGCACATGACAGCCTGCTTGGAGTTTGCCAAAAGGCACCTAAAGGCTCTCAGACCATGAGAAAGAAGAATCTCTGGTCTGATTAAACCAAGTTTGAACTCTTTGGCCTGAATACCAAGCGTCACATCTGGAGGAAACCTGGCACCATCCCTACGGTGAAGCATGGTGGCAGCGTCATGCTGTGGGGATGTTTTTCAGCTGCAGGGACTGGGAGACTAGTCAGGATCGAGGCAAAGATGAATGGAAGAAAGTACAGAGAGATCCTTGATGAAAACCTGCTCCAGACCTCAGACTGGGGCGAAGGTTCACCTTCCAACAGGACAGCGACCCTAAGCACACAGCCAAGACAACGCAGGAGTGGCTTCGGGACAAGTCTCTGAATGTCCTTGAGTGGTCCAGCCAGAGCCCGGACTTGAACTCGATCGAACATCTCTGAAGAGACCTAAAAATAGCTTTGCAGCAACGCTCCCCATCCAACCTGACAGAGCTTGAGAGGATCTGCAGAGAAGAATGGGAGAAGCTCCCTAAATACAGGTGTGCCAAGCTTGTAGCATCATACCGAAGAAGACTCAATGCTGTAATCGCTGTCAAAGGTGCTTCAACAAAGTCCTGAGTAAAGGGTCTGAATAATTTTGTAAATGTTTATTTTTAATAAATTAGCAGAAATTTCTAAAAACCTGTTTTTGTTTTGTCATTATGGGGTATTTTGTGTAGATTGATGAGGGGAAAAAACTATGTAATCAATTTTAGAATAAGGCTGTAACGTAACAAAATGTGGAAAAATTCAACGGGTCTGAATACTTTCCGAAGGCACTGTATATATATATTTTTTTTTTCTTCCCCTAACCCTACCATCCCTCCCCTAATTGGAGTAAACTAATGGACAACAACACTTAGGCTTCTACTTCCAGCTTATACATACTATATACATTTTACGAACACAATGTATTTTTACAATAGTTATCCTTTGTTTGTTTTTAATCCCATCCTTCAGCTACCATCAACCCATCCCATCTATCTCTGAAGACCATCCTGTGTGTGTTTGATACAATCTCCTTATAGATTATTCATGTTCTCTCTCTCTCTCTTTCTCTCTCTCTCTCTCTCTCTCTCTCTCTCTCTCTCTCTCTCTCTCTCTCTCTCTCCCCCTCCCTCCCTCCCTCCAGTGTCAGTGTGTTTTGTGGTGTGTCTGCTGTCCCTGGCCTGGGCCTTAGTGCTGTATGCCAGAGCCTGTTCCCTCATCAGACCTGGACATCTCCCCATGTCCCCTGCTGCATTCGCCTGTAGACTGCTCTGGAGGGTAAGAGGGTAGGGGGGCGGGCTGGGTGTTGTGGGCTGGGCTGGGTGTGTGGGCTGGGGTTGGGTGTGTGGGGCTGGGCTGGGTGGGGTGGTGGGGCTGGGTTGGGTGTGTGGCTGGGGTTGGGTGTGTGGGGCTGGGCTGGGCTGGGCTGGTGTGTGGGCTGGGCTGGTTGTGTGGGCTGGGCTGGGTGTGTGGGCTGGGCTTGGGGTGTGTGGGCTGGGCTGGGTGTGGGGCTTGGGCTGGGTTGGTGTGGTGGGCTGGGTTGTGTGGCTGGGCTGGGTGGTGTGGCTGGGCTGGGGTGTGTGGGCTGGGCTGGGTTGGGTGTGGCTGGGCTGGTGGTGTGGGGCTGTGGGCTGGGGTGTGTGGGCTGGGCTGGGTTGGGTGTGTGGCTGGGTGTGTGGGCTGGGCTGGGGTGTGTGGGCTGGGCTGGGTGTGTGGGCTGGGCTGGGTGTGTGTGTGGGCTGGGTTGGGTGTGTGGGCTGGGTTGGGTGTGTGGGCTGGGTGGGTGTGTGGGCTGGGTTGGGTGTGTGGCTGGGTGGTGTGGGTGTGTGTTGGGTGTGGCTGGGTTTGTGGGCTGGGTTGGGGTGGTGTGTGGGCTGGGTTGGGTGTGTGGGCTGGGTTGGGTGTGTGGGCTGGGTTGGGTGTGTGGGCTGGGTGGGTGTGTGGGCTGGGTTGGGTGTGTGGGTGGTGTGTGGGTTGGCTGGTGGTGTGTGTGGGGCTGGGTGTGTGTGGCTGGCTGGGTGTGTGTGGCTGTGGGTGGTGTGGGTGCTGGGTTTGGTGTGTGGTGGCTGTTGGGTGTGTGGGTGGTTGGGTGTGTGGGCTGGGTTGGGTGTGTGGGCTGGGTTGGGTGTGTGATAGTAACATACTTATTGTATTGTGTTTAGGTCAGCATGTTGGGAGCACGTCTCGCCACCCTCACACTCTTCACACGCCTGTTCCGTCAGTGGGTCCTTGGAGTTATTGGTGAGTGTGTGTGTGTGTGTGTGTGTGTGTGTGTGTGTGTGTGTGTGTGTGGACGTGTTTAACTATACTTGTGGGGACCAGAAGTCCCAACAAGAATAGTAAACCAAGAAATGTTTTGTTAGTCCCTACAAGGTCAAATGCTATTTCTAGGGGGTTTAGGGTTAAGGTTAGAATTAGGTTTAGGGTTAGGCGATAGGGTTAGGGTTAAGAGCTAGGGTTAGGGTTAAGGTTAGGTTTTTGGATTAAGGTTTGGGAATTGTATGTCCCCACAAGGTTAGCTGCGCAAGAGTGTGTGTGTGTGTGCAGTATATGTGTGTGAGCATCTCTTTTAATGTGCGTTTGTAGATGTGTCTATTCAGTGATGTTTGTCCTGCACCCATGTATCTCAGGTCTTCACTGGTTGGGTGCTACGTTCTGGTTGGTGTCTCAGCAGAGTGACATCATCAAAACGCCGCTGCGCTGGCGCCTGTTCAACCTGGTGCTGGGAGCTGTTCACATCTTCCTCTTCCTCAACGTCAAGGACGGAGCCTCCCGATGCCGCATGGCCGGATTCTACCTGGTGGGTCTCTCTCTGTCTGTGTGTGTGCGTGTGTAAATGTCTCTCTTCTCTCTGTCTGCGTGTGTGTGTGTGTGTGTGTATGTAAATGTTTCTCTTCTCTGTGTGTGTGTGTGTGTGTGTGCGTGTGTGTAACTCTCTGCTCTCTCCTGCAGGCCATGTTTATCGAGAACGCTCTTCTTCTGCTGGCAGGTTCCGACTTCTTCAGTGCTGCATCATGGGATAGCATGGGTATCCCAACCGCTGTGTTCTGTAGTTTCCTCATTGGTGAGACATGCACACACACACACACACACACACACACACACACACACACACACACACACACACACGTTTGTTTCTATCCTCGTGGGGACCTAAAATTAATTTCCATTCAAAATCCTATTTTCCCTAACCCTAAAACTAACCCTAACCACTAACCCCTTTACTCTTACCATAACCCTAATTGAAACCCTAGCCCCTAAGCTTAAAATAGCCTTTGTCCTCATGGGGATGTGAGAAATGCCCCCACGAAGGAGAATTTACCTTGTTTTACTATCCTTGTGGGGACTTTGGGGGATTTTAGGTCCCCACAAGGATAGAAGAACACACCAACACACACACACACACACACACACACTCACCTGTCTCTGTGTCCCTCTAGGTGTAATAGCTATAGTCCTGTATTACCGGTTCCTCCACCCCAAGTCCTTTGAGATCTTCCAGAGCATACGTCACCATGGAATGGGCGGAGCTTGTGCCGACCGGGGCTCTTCTCTCTCATTGGATGAGAAGAGCCATCGCCACGGTCAACTTGTGGGGGGCGGTACTTTGTTGGACCTCCCTAGCCAATGGCAGGGCTGGAAGCACCACCACTGGCTGCTTATTCGCCTAGCCCTGAAGACTGGGGATGTGGCTAGAATAAGCCATGCCTATGGCGAAGGGGGATTGGCTGGGCTGCTGGGACTGCGGGAAATGGCGCTGCCAAGGTCCCCGGACATTCCGCAACATTCTCTCAACGTTCCACAACCTTCTCCGAACATTCCACAACCTTCGCCGAACGTTCCACAACCTTCTCCCAACCTTCCACAGGTCAAACAGGTGGAGGAGGTGAGATGAGCATTCCTTCCTCTTCTCCCTGAAGTGTACACTTCACATGTTGTTGTTGTTGTTGGCAAGCTGCTGTGCCATGTTTGGAGGATCAGAACTCCTATATTTTCCAAATAAATCTTTACCCTGAAAGTTCTATGTGGTTGAATGTTGTCTGTCTTAAAACCGAGCACTTCTGGGAGCAGGCATCAAGTTGAGGATTGATTTGCAGTTCTCTACTATTGTTGGATATTATCCTCTATGTTTGTCTCCTGGGACAAGTTAGCTTTTTCCTTGATGTGGAACCTTTCACAATAACTTCTGTCTTCCTTCCCCTCAGGTGATAAAGGCAGCCCCAGCAAGAGACATCATCAGTGAGGTGAGACAGGCGGTGAGACATGAGGTGAGACAGGGGCTGTCCTCTCCCTCTCCCATCCAGGAGGTCAAGCTGCCGCTGGTGGAGGTCCTAGTTGAGGAGGTCAGAGCCTGCCACCACTCTGAGCCTGCCACCCCGCAGGACGACTCCAGCCCCCCTCCCTCCGACGATCGAGATGACGAAGACTTCCAGAGTGCTGCCTATGGCTCCCCTACACCCTCGTCCCCCAGGCACCCAGACTACCGACACATCGACAGCAACGTGGTCACCTCCAACACCCAAGGGTCACCTTCTGCGGGGTCTCTGGATGTCAGACGTGGTTCGTCTCCAGAGAAAAGGTCACCGTCCCTGCTGATGGGCATGGGAAGCCCCCAGCGGAACTTTAACCCCGCGGAGTCCGGCACCACCTTGTATTTCAGCGCTGACGTGGTCTCCCCGTCCAGCGGCAGCTACCTGGGCTGGGGCTCTGAGCTGTCACCCATCTCCAGCTACCGGAGCCCCTACCGCATCAGGGAGCCCCTCTTCACCTCCACCCCCAGACAGGAGCCTCGTGCTGGGCCAGAGGAACCAGGCCCTGGCCCCTCTACTACCGCCACCACCGCCATCACCACCCATGCTAGAAAACAACTGGTCCAGTTTGTAGACCATAGAGAGAAATTGATCTAGAGGGGCCAATGGGTGGAGCGAGATGATCAGACCTCGTCAAATACTCTCAAATACATGTTGACGTGTGTTTGATTTAGCTCGACCGGTGTGCAGCTGGGTGGCGGAGTTTACACTTTTGGGACTATTTCATTAGTTCCATTGTACCACTGTTCCATTCCAAGCTAAATCAAGCGTGCATAAAGTATTTGAAAGTATTAAGGCCCAAGGGGGTGTGGTATATGGCCAATATACCACGGCTAAGGGCTGTTCTTATGCACGACACGACGCAACGCGGAGTGCCTGGATACAACCCTTAGCTGTGGTGTATTGGCCATATACCACAAACTCCAGAGGTCCCTTATTGCTATTATAAACTGGTTAACAACATAATTAGAGCAGTAAAAATAAATGTTTTGTCATACCCATGGTATACGGTCTGATATACCACGGCTGTCAGCCAATCAGCATTCAGTGCTTGAACCACCCAGTTTATCATATTGTATTTAACCCAGATGTAGAGATTATATAGAACACAATATATAGAGAGTATTTTAGAAGATATATGACATTAGCCTGGGTGTCAGGCTGGTTCTGCATTCAACAGTGCTATTACGACATTGTTATCATGCCAGACAACTGCTTCATTACTAGCCAAGGGCTTGTTGACTAATTCAGAACCAGCCTGGCCCCCAGGCTAGCCAGATGTGTTTCACACTAAATAACTATAGCTTGTCTTGAGTATCCAGTATTATCAGCTAGTGTGAGGTTGTGAATCCACATGTAACTGTCACACGCAGACACATTACATAAGAGAAGTAGTCTGGAAGTAGTCTTTTAATGAAGGAACAGTGTTTTTCTCCTTGGCCCTGATTCAATCAATCACAGATCAGCATTGTGGCTTTACTCAAAATGTATGGATTTTGCTGACGTGAAGTTTCATGTCCACATTCAATGATAATGTCTGTGAGAATAATAGCTTGTAAGGGTGTGTTGGTTTTAACACGGTTTACACCTCTGATAGTGTCAGCATTTTGAGTGAACCCTCAGTGTGGTTTACCCTGATATGTGATTGATTGAATTGGGGCCGTCATAAAGCGTTATGATTCATAATATCTTAAATTAAATTGTGATTATTAAGGTTTGACAGAGGAAAGAGTTTATATATTTTTATTTTTTTTCTTGTATATATCTGATATAATAATGAGACAGTTTGCACTTCTGCGCAAATATGAGGTATTGTGATATGATTGGATAACTGAAGGGGAGCTATTGGTTAGTCAAGAGAGGCTCTGATCACATGTTAAGGTTTACTTTACTATTATAGGCTACTGTATATAAAATATTTTATTATTTTATCCAAATGTGATATTTAATCTAAAGGTACCCTAGCAAATTAAGGTAATATACGTTAATGCTTTTTATTAACAAATATTAATACTCTTATTTACAATTAGTTTACAGCTAGTCCTGACATGTCAAGCAGACAATTCAATCTGAAAGGTACTAGCATTACAATATACAGTATATATGAGATTTTCAATTGTGTTCAGGTGTTCAATTCATTTCGGTCAGTATAAATACTGTTCCCAAGTGTTGAATTAACTTTATATGGTAAAGATCTTTTATGAACCATTTGTAGGGAGCAATGACCTATTCCTGTGAGACCGGAAGAAGATCCAACTAATCTGATCTATTGAAGTGGCACCAGAGCAGACTGTATCTTTCAGTGTGGAAGTGCCTGAAACAAGCTGCTAGTAATATTGACGAGCTTCCAGATCCTCTAACCCTACAGCCTGGTCCCATTTCTTTCCCTAGCCCCTTCCCTTAGTCCCTAGGGCTTAGTTCATAGAAGGGGCTAGGGAGAGAAGAAGTGACAGGACTATCTAGGGGGTATAGGTCACGTGCTGCTATGGATGTTTGGAGGTCAGTGTTATCAGATTATTATTTTTTTTACAGTTCTTTATTTTGTTTGATTGGGTTTATAGTGAGTTCATAACTAACCTCGTCCTCCAGGCTCAAGAGATGGAGCCGGCTGGGGACCAGATTAGTTCTGAACTATTGTTTTACCTCTGTTGCTATAAAGGGAATGTGTGAGCTAGATAGAGCTGAGGAAACAGTACCATTGCATGTTTGTCCTTATTTTTATACAGCCTGACACAGTGTACTGTAACTAATGATACATGTGAAAAAAGAAAAGCACTCACACACACATTGCATTAACTAGCTTTTAGAATGTATGTCTATGCAAAGTTAATATGCTAGCTAATATAACCTACTAATATCAGTATTGACTTTAAAATGTATCTTTAGTGCAATAACACGCTTTAGAATGCTATCTCAAAGCCTTGGCTTGATAATCAAAATGATCAATTGATGATCAGCGCTTGCCTTGTAGAAACGACAGCATCAGCTGCGATGGCTGTGGGTCTCATTGCCTTACCTGTATGTAATGTTCATCACAATGAATGGAATGGAGGGCTTCCATTTTCAGTTTCTTGCTTTGTATTCTTAGAATTTTTATTTTGGCCACATTTACTGTATGGAATGTGTACGGTAGTGTGATTAATTGTGTTTTGACTAGGTTTTATATCTGTACTTGACAATATGCATTAACAAAATGTTGTTATTTTTATTATTATTGTTACATCAGGCAAATGTGATGCATCTGATTGGCCATCATTTATTCTAATAATACTAGGGGTGGTTAATAACTGTATTAGTACACCTGAATAAACACTATGGTTACCACTATGGAATAATGCTTTGTGTCTATTGCTCTAATCTAATCAGTAAAGAAATGAAAGTGACCATCTTGATTTTACCTCCCAAAGTAAATGCCTAGGCTTTAGCTCAGCAGGCTAACATAGTCTTCTGCTATGAAGATTACCCCGGTTCAAGCCCAGTCAGTCACACCTTTATTCTGTTTCTTCATGATGATCTAATCAGATGTTTGTCCGCTGAGTACAGAACAGAAAGAAGACTGATCATGCTTCATTAGTTACAATAGCCGATGGCTTTTGATAAATGCACGTGTCATCATGTCCTCGGGTTCTTTATGTGATGACTTCGCTTGTTTTGCAGTCACGAGATGTTCTTGAAATGCAGTCTTTTGTGCTGATGATCCTTTAAACGTGTCATAGACTCATGTGTGTTAGCAAATGCAAATTCTATAGGCCTACATTTCTCCTTCACCTGCGTCAAGGGGTCTGTTCAGGACAGTGTAGCAGACAAGAACAGTCTGTCATGTAGGCCTAGGTAGAATTTCTGTTTGAAATTGTGCACATTTTATCTCACATGAATATACCCCCCTACAATCATCGTTGTTGTTGTTGTAATAAATTAGTTACATAATATGCCTATTGTGTCTATTTACTAGACATTAAACAATTTAGCAAATCTTCTAATGCAACCTGCAACAATCAGGAGGACCATGATCAGAGCAAGAGGCACATGACAAGTCACGTGATTCTCCTCTGATTTAACGTTCAGAACCGAACGTTATAAAACACTTTGCCAGGTAATTTACTAGAGGTGGACGTGTAGAAGTGTGCTGTAACTGATCTTCGGCACACCCGACAAGCAGATAACAGGTAATGTAACGTTATTTTATTGAACTTCATTTCAGTTTGCTTAGAAACATGAGGTATTTGAGAGGAACTCCGCATCAGCTTTAGCTAGCTTTCTGGATGGTTAGCTAACAACCCGCACAGTAAAAAGGCCAATTTACAGCTAACAAAAGTGTAATTTTTTTTGCTAAACGAGTATTTATGTCCTGATTAAAATATGGTTGTGACGAGCAGATGAAATTGCTTAAATTATCTATTAACGTTAGCTAACGATAGTTTGAAATGCAGCAGCAGTGTTGTTGTTTGGGCGGTGTTTGTTGTCAGCTTTGTGTGGCCTACTTTTAAATTGGCAGCCAACGTTATAACCTGATTGTATTCTTATCTCAACTTGTTTTCTATATACGCGTGTGCATGCTATGAAGTCAAAAGTCAGATTTGCAGAGCATTTGCATACAATCTTGAATGACTAACCATACCTTGACTCAGACATTTCTCAAAGGCATCTTATGATGAAAGGGCTCTGACAAGTGCACGACCATATGCAAACAACATGCCTGGACTGGTATGTAACTGAAATCGTATGAAATCCAGATTTCACTTTAAACAAGTCTATGCAAACAACATGCCTGGACTGGTATGTAACTGAAATCGTATGAAATCCAGATTTCACTTTAAACAAGTCTGATATCTGGATAAGAAATTGAAAGCCAGACACTCACTTAGTAATTGTATCTCAAAGCTACTCTTGTGGGTGTCGGAAGACAAGTGATCTAAAAGAGACCTGTGACAACCCTATTTCACTCTGGCCAGTGTACAGGCATTTGTCTAGTACCAGCCTAGTGTTGCGTTTAGACGAGGGACTGAAAAACCCTCATACCTGTCGGCATAGGTCAAAGCAAGAAAGACGGTGACCGCAAAAACAAGCCAGCACGACGGTATGCTTTGCTATGGTGATTTCAGTGAAAATCATCATCCGGTAGAAAATAACACTATGGCAAAAGTTTAAATATTTCAACTTTGGTGGCAAGTCCCGTCTACCGTGGCGGCTGACTGCATTCACCACCAACCTCAACGGCATTTAACGTCGTGCTCTCTTTGAAAACATTTGACATCCTGTTTGCCATCTACCTGGTACACGTAAACACGGCATAATACACAATTCAACCAACCAATGTCTTGATGGTGGTTAAATGATTTAATACAACGGGTGGGTCTAATCCTGAATGGCATTCCAGCCGGTGTCTATTCCACAAGTTACCACCCGCTAAATCTATGAAGTTAAAATGCCTATTTACTCTGTTCCATCTGACTGTGCAATCCACTGTCTCATCAGCCCAGCCAGGCACGTTATAAACATTATCTCCACTATAAAAAGCATCAAGACATCATGTCACATTTCTTTTAGACTAACATTTAGTTTTCAACAGCGGAGATTTGCATAAACTTTGCTCACTGTCTCCGACATTTGCAACATTGTTTCAATATCTTAAATTCAATCTCCAGCTGTCCCATAGTAATGAACATGTAGGGGCCGGGACTAGACAGACAGGCAGGCAGCGTTTCTCAGCCGGTCGAAATCATGAATCGGCTGGCATTTTTATGGATATATCCAAAGAAATGTCAATTGAAAAAAAGGTAAAATGAAATAAAGTGCAGCAACTTTGCAGTCTTTCCAGCTTCAGTTTGAAGTGATTGTGTTAGCTGTGTTGTTGGCTAGCTCCTCTGAACAACAGTGTCCTGACGAGAGCACATTTTCTATGCCATGCGAAATCGCGCCTCATTAACTCATTGTTATGGATGTATCCAAATGTATATCACTAGAAAACTGTTTAAACAAATACAAATGCGGCTACTTTGCTGTTATTCTGGCTGCACTGTTTGAATTGACTGTAAGTTAGCCTTAGTTGGCTAGCTGGCAAGCAAGGGATAAGAACGTTGCCAGCCAGTAAGGCAATGGAACATTTAGAACAAACGACTGGGTCACGTCCATAGATACAGAACAAAAAGACTGAACGACTGGGTCGCGTCTCTAGATACAGAACAAAAAGACTGAACGACTGGGTCGCGTCCATAGATACAGAACAAAAAGACTGAACGACTGAGTCGCGTCTCTAGCAACCGAACGGATAGAACGAACGACCAGCCGGCTTGGGTAGCAACCCTAGATTTGTGTCGGGACTATATCTTGTGGAAGGATTAAATAGTATGAATAAATTCATCAAAATAACGTTAATGAAAATATGTCAATCATTATTTGAATATGTTGGTAACCCGTTGTATAAAAGTGATAATGCCCTCGAAGCCGGTGTTTGGAGGATATATATATATATATATTTTTTTTTTTTGGCGTGGTTTGTTGGTCAATATATCCAGTACCAATATCCTCAACACCTGCTTCTCGGGCATTCTCACTTAAGGGTAGCTCAATCAGGAGTGTTGTGCTTAGCTGGATAAATCCTGTACACAAAGGTTCTAGACCATTACACGGGGTGCTGAAGACGGAACATTTGTCATTGTGATGAGGTTAATCATTCATTTCATAGCAGAACAATAAAGGTGACTTCTGAGAAATGTAGTTTAATTTCCCCCTGTGGGTTTGTGAAAGCCTGCTCTTCCACTGCAGCAGACAGTTAGGTTAACATGATCTCTCCTCTCCCACCTTACACCCTATGGGTAGGCTACTTCTTCAGCTCCATGAGTCGCAGGCTATGAAAGGCAGATAGATGTCTGGCATGCTAATCTGTTGCTTAGCTATTTGTTGCTGTCATATTGTTCAAAATCTGTTCAGGTAGTACCTACCAGTTTCACGCCCTTTCTAAATGTTTTCTCCCTACTGAACAACACAGCGCTGCTTATCACCTATCCTTGACCCACTAATGGAAGATAAGGTGGCACTTTAGAATTGCCAGTGAGACAGATTGTTGCTCTGGGTAGTCTGTCAGACAAGAGGGTAAAACAATGTCTTATAGGCATGTATTAATACATTTACATTTGACATTTTAGTCATTTAGCAGACGCTCTTATCCAGAGCGACTTACAGTTAGTGAATGCATACTTTATTTATTTTTCCATACTGGCCCCCCGTGGGAAACGAACCCACATCCCTGCCGGCCAAACCCTCCCCTACCTTGGACGACGCTGGACCAATTGGTCGAAGTTAATACTCTTAACGTTCATCAAGTCAATAAATGACATCTGGAAGTCTTGGTGGTTTTAATGTTCCTCTACCATATGACCCTGGCTATGCTGAGTACAGGCATTCTAGGGAAGCAAGACTTGGTTGTCTTTGCTGAGTTGAAAGAAGTCAGTCATGTTGTCCTAAAGGTGAATTCCATGTGAAGCTACTTGCGGCTGACTCATTCAGTCATGTGATTTCACCATTGCACAGCCCATTTCTTGGAAGTTGTGATGTGACCACACACACACAACCCCCCCCCCCCCCCCCCCCCCCCCACACACACACACACACAACCACCCACCACATGCTGTAATGTGTGTTTAGGCCTAATATGCATTCCTGTTTGTGTCCGGTTCCTGGTTAAAGTAGCCATGGAATCATGTTTCTGATCTGAACAAGGTAGGGCTGTGTAATGGTGGCCAACATTCTGTCTCATCTGTAGTGTAAGTTATTCTATACCATGAATGACTTGGCAGTATCGGAGACACAGACACACCCTTCAATCTGCACTGGTATTGATCTGTGGACCTGAGCCAAATCCATTAGGCCTTCAATGCCTAATGGAGAGCCTTGCTTGAATACGCCAACTCCAGTTGAGCTGAAGTGCTCTCCTCTCTGCCCTCTTGGTCTGCTGGTCTGTCCTGTCTGAGTGGCTTAGAGCTGCTGAAGTGTTTGTGTCCCTGCATGACTGCATGCGCATGTCACCTGACTCCCTGAGGCCAGTATGGTAGGTCTACATGTGACATTAGCTTTGTTTTGACCTAAAACAAAGCTAATGGATGGTGGGGGGTGGGTGGATTGCAGTGGATTGCGCAGTCAGATGGAACTCATGTTCCCATGATGCCGTTGTGTCCCTACAGGAAGTAATGTGGCGTGTGGCATTTTTGATGCTGGTGTCTGGGCTGTCAATCAGCTGGGCCCGGCCCCGCCTACCTCCGCTCTCCCACCAGATGGTGGACTACATCAATGAGGCCAACACTACATGGAAGGCTGGCCACAACTTCCGTAATGTGGACTACAGCTATGTTAAGAGACTGTGTGGAACCCTGCTCAAAGGACCCAAACTGCCCGCCATGTGAGTGACTGAGTTGTATGAAGGGAATGTACATGTGTATTTGTGCTGCATCCAGAAAGTGTACAAGCAGGAAGTGAACTGATCTGTTAATCGAATTGAACTCCTTGGCTGCTGTACAGATTGACTTTACCAAGAACACTACATAGTAACAGCACATATTCAGTCATTGTCCTCACCTGTTACTCACTCTCTCTCCTGTTCTTTCATTCGGTCTCTCTTTCTGTGTCGCTCTGTCTCTGTAGGGTAGGTTGTAGGGTTAATGGCAATGTTGTCCTCTCCTCTGTAGGGTGCAGTATGCAGGGGATGTGAAGCTACCTGACAACTTTGACCCCAGAATGCAGTGGCCCAACTGTCCCACTCTGAAGGAGATCAGGGACCAGGGCTCCTGTGGCAGCTGCTGGGTAAGAACAGAGACGGACCCACACTGGAGGAGACCCCTATCCTCAGACTCCTGTTACTGAACCATGAAGTTGAGTGTGTTTTGACGTGCTTGTTCCTCTGCAGGCGTTTGGTGCTGCGGAGGCCATCTCAGACCGTGTGTGTATCCATAGCAATGCCAAAGTCAGCGTGGAGATCTCCTCTGAAGACCTGCTCAGCTGCTGTGAAAGCTGTGGCATGGGGTACGTGTTTTCTCATTCACCTGCTCTGTGACATGGGGTGCATGTAAGGGATCGGAGGTTGTGTTAGCATTGCTTACTGTGTGTGTTCCTAGTTGTAATGGTGGTTACCCCTCTGCTGCGTGGGACTTCTGGACTACAGAGGGGCTAGTCTCTGGAGGACTCTACGACTCTCACATTGGTATGTAGGGGACTCTCTCTCTCTCTGGTCTCTCCTGTCAGGCCCTACTCTTTCCCTCCCTGTATCTAACTCTCCCTCTCTTTCTCTGGTGTCTCCTGATAGGTTGCAGGCCCTACTCTATCCCTCCCTGTGAGCACCATGTTAACGGCACACGACCCCCCTGTAAAGGAGAGGAGGGTGACACGCCAGAATGTTCCAACCAGTGTGAGGCTGGATACACACCTGGCTACAAGCAGGACAAACACTTCGGTTAGTAAACACATTCACACACTCAATTTGAATGTATTCAATGTATGCTAAGTGGATAGGTTTCTCTTGCCCATGGAAACACACACTAAGCCCTCTCTCCTGTCCCCTAGGTAAGAGCTCGTACAGTGTTCCCTCTGAAGAGCAGCAGATCATGAATGAGCTCCTAAAGAACGGACCTGTGGAAGGAGCTTTCACTGTCTACGAAGACTTCCTGCTCTACAAGTCTGGTGAGCACGCTCACCCTCTATCACACATTTCCGTCTTTCTGACACCCTAACTTTATCTCTCTCTGTCTAGGTGTGTACCAGCATGTCTCTGGCAGCGCAGTAGGAGGCCATGCCATTAAGGTCCTGGGCTGGGGAGAGGAGGGGGGAACTCCTTACTGGCTGGCTGCTAACTCCTGGAACACTGACTGGGGAGAGAACGGTGAGACACACTTACACAAATTATGTTACAACTCTGGACAAACTAGAGGTTAATTCTTCTTCAGGAAGATTGTGTGCGTGCTCGGCTACTCCTACACAATGTGTGTTTTCTCTCCTGTCTCCCAGGTTTCTTTAAGATCCTGAGAGGTAAGGACCACTGTGGCATCGAGTCTGAGATGGTGGCTGGCATCCCTTTGTAACCAGGACAACAGTAACCAGGAAGTGATTGGAGCGAGAAGCTGCAGATGCACCAGTCCTCCTGTCCACTAGAGGGAAACCATCTCCTCTTTCTGCCTGCCTTTTCTGGCTTTTACTCTGGTTCTAATGCCCAATTCAACCCCTAGGCACCTCTTTAGTTTCAAAATAATTGGTTTAGAAAATGCTACCCTGTCTGAGGGAAAGGCGGATCTACTAGCATATTGCTCATACCTGTCCTATCCTGATTCCTTATCAGATCTATGAGAAGTGTATAAGAGGAGAGGCTAGGGGTCCATTTGGAACTGGGCATATGTGAACTATTGCTTTCTGTCTTTAGTTAAATGTGTTCTTCCTAGTGTGTCTCAATCTGTAGTGGCTTCTTCCCCTCGTATCCACTCTGTCATCTCCACCGATCTGAAAATGCAGGATGGGTGAAAGAAGACACCTGTCCAGTTATGTCAGTGCAGATTGAGAGGAAGCAACAGTAGACTATTGAGACTCTGTAGACGTCCATCTTGCTTCCTGTGTTTGATCAATGGAGCGGTGGCTAGCTGTGCTAAAATACCTCTCTCCCTGTACTAGTTTGCAACAATCACATCAATTTACAATTTTTAATGCATGATGCTTTAAACACCTTTTTCTAGAGGTGATTTTTTTTTTTCCCTTCGACGTGCTCACTGACTGCATTGTACACCTTTTTGTGTTTTTAAATTGGATTATAAGAGAAACATGGAAGTAGTTTTATACCGATGGGGGGGGGGTTATTTGAATGCTGTGTTTTTAATTCTTCTCTCTGTTCTGATCAAAAGTGTTCTGGAATGATTGTATTGAGTTGCATAAAATAAAAGCCAACCAACATGTTTAACTTGGCCTCTGAAAACTTGCCTGGCTTAAACTTCTCCCTGCCCTCAAGACATGGCTTTTTTTTTTATATCCACAGTTGGCACAAAATGCAGATACCCAGCCTAAAATCCCAAAGACCCCATTACTTTCACCCATCTTTGCTGAAAAATGTGTAAGTTGACCTTAGTAGGTATGTTTGTGTAGGAATCCCTCCGCCGAGTGGAAATCTTAGAGCAGCAACAAAAGTGAGTGGACATTCTCCTTGGTTCCCCATTTTTAATAATAATTTTAACAAACAAGGTACAACCAGGCTGTTGTTTAGTGACCACCAAGATTAAAAACCATGTCATCACTACACACAGTGATAAAGGTGGGATATTCATATTAGCTTTATTTTTAGTCTTAAATATACAAACCCTCAATTCAGGAAATTTACAGCAAACCAAATATTCATTTGTTTCTTTAAAAATGTATCCCAAAAATGTGTTCTTAAATATTTGATTACATGAAATCAAATGCATTCAAAACATATCCTTGCCCAATTTAGATTACCCTTCTCCCCAAAGTGTACAGTTCATTCCCCTCATGGATTTCAAAGGAAAGAGTGCACACTTCTGGGAGAAGGGGGCGAATCTGAATTGGGCTCTTAGTATTACTGGGGCTGTGCAGGGAAGCAAAACTATTTGTACAAATCAACACAGACTTTAGTTTTAAAGGTTGCATAAGTGAAAAGGGCCAAAGGTTTTTGACCTGCGCTACCAGGAAAAACAAATATCCCTAATAATGATGGAGACTCTAGTCTCAACAAATGCAGTGACGAGAGAGCCCAATTCCATGAGTTTGAGGGATTTCCCACCTAATTTCTTAACCCAGTGAACGAGCGCACAATTTTCATATTGCAGTGTGTTCTGGGAGGGGGAATACCTTTTCTCAAAGTATCATTGGAAGGCATTGCACTTGACACATTCATACATTCCTGAACTTTTCTTCAGATTGTCTATTGCAATATATGGCTTAATTTGGATTGCTTCTTCAACAGAGAGAAAATATTTACCGCAAAAATCTATGACAACCAAAAGGCCGAACTGCTATTTAGCAGTGTAAGGCATAGTATATTTTTGGCACAATAAAACATTCAATCCTGAGTTATATTGTCTCTTGTTCAGAAGGGCAATGTGTTGAAATGTAACAGCATTTCTTTAGTACAAAAAAAAGGGGGAAATCCATCAGCGTGAAACTGAAACAAGACCCTCCCTCAAAGGTGGATAAGGGGCTGTGATTTGGTCATTCTGCTGCCTGTCAGTCAACGGGCTCCTGTTATTGGCTGACCCAACTCTCAGTCTGGATGGAAGAATTGTAGTTGAGCTGGAGTGCTGTTTGTGTGTTATTATTATTATTGTTATTATCATTATTATTATTACTATTATGTGTTTGTTTGTTTACATCTCAGGTTGCCCCTGATGTAGTACAGGATCAGCAGCAGGGGCCTATGGGATATGTGGTCCTTTCTCCTCTTCCTGTATAGAATGTTCATCGGTCTTAACTTACTGTCCCTCATCTCCTGGCTTTGACCCTTCCTCCTTGAGCTGTTCCTCTGCGTTCTTCTCCTATTTCTGCTCTGCCTCTTCTTGTTTTGGTTCCTCAACATTGACTCCCTCTTTGACCTCTACACCCCCTTCCTGTTCAGGTGCACCCTGGGAGTTAGAGTCTGGCTGTTGTAGTTTGGGAGGAGAGAGAAGCTCAGAGGGAGCTATTAGACCATCCTGGTTTAGATCCTGAGTCTGCAGGAGAACATCTACCATGGCCACCACCTGGATACACACACACACACACACACACGCACACACACACACACGCACACACACACACACACACACACACGCACACACACACACACACACACACACACCAACAAGCATTGGTCTAGGGTGCAGATTTACTAACTGACATGTACACACACACACCAGCAAGCGTTGGCCTAGGGTGCAGATTTACTAACTGCAACAGTCATATTCAGTTACACTGAGCTACAGTAGGTCCTACAGTAACCCTATCTTTATATTTAGACAACAGTACAGGCCACATGATGTATGTGTATCCTAATACACAACCCCTCTGATACTATGTCACGCTAGCTAGCTGGTCATCAACTGACTCTGTGATCAGGACAGAGTTACAATATCAGTCAGTATAGTATATGACCTAGCTATAACACTGAAGATATATACAGATGTTTTACACACACACACACACACACACACACACCTCACCGACTCAGCTGACTGTTCTCCAGGTGTATTGTGGGAGTTGTATTCAGAGAGCAGCTTCATCATCTCCAGGCCGTCCATGTGACCGCTGCGGTCGTAGTCATGGAGACTGAACAGGAAGAACACCTCTGACCAGCAGGAAATAGGAAGATGTTGATTCATTAATAATGTCACTAATTGTGTGTGTGTGTGTGTGTGTGTTTACCTTGTTCCCAGGTGTTATCCGGCCCTCCCTGTCCCTCCTTTACATTGGCCTTGATATAGCTCTGCAGCAGCCTGACACACACAGAGGTCAGAGGTCAGAGGTTAGAAGGTTCAACCGCAGGCCCACCTGACTGGGTAGCACGTTACTTCACGGTACAGAAAGTACCACTGTAATCTAGTCTCAACATATCTCAAGGTTTTACAAACAAACTCTCTGTTCCCTCCCTGGAGTGCTCGGAGTGCAGTTGGTATGTCACAGTAATCAGTGGAGGTGTGTGAGCTCAATATGAACTGACACTTGGACAGCTAGAACACTCCCCACACCTGGACAACCTTTGACCTTTTACAGAACACAACTGAATGTGGTAAACTATTTAGTCATTTGTTCGCTCGGTTAGGTTAACGAACAAGGCAAACAGCACTCACTAACTGTAAGTCGCTCTGGATAAGAGCGTCTGCTAAATGACTAAAATGTAAATGTAAATCATAAACCTATTTAATCTTATCTGTCTGTCTGAAAGACACATCGACACACATCACAGCACCTACTCAGAGTCCACAGAGCTGTAACGGAATACATGCCCCTGTCAGAGTAAAGGCGTTTATTGACAATTTTGACCGGTTCTGGAAGCGAAGGGATTGTTTCTGTGAGGATGGAATACATCCCAACTACCGGCGAGCACAGAAGCTCTCTTCGAGCATAAATGAGTCACGTACTCAAATCAAAATAAAATGTTATTGGTCGCGTTACCTACACATATTTTGCAGATGTTATCGCAGGTGCAGCGAAATGCTTGTTTCTAGCTCCAACAGTTCAGTAATAACTAACAATACAAAACAATACACACAAATCCCCAAGAAGAAAAATAAATAAATTAAGAAATATCAGAACGAACAATGTCAGAGTCCAGAATATAAATGTACATGTACAGTGCTGTGAAAAAGGGTTTCCCCCTTTATAATTTTCTCTACTTTTGCATATTTTTCATACTGAATGTTAGCAGATCTTCAACCTAAACCTAATATTAGATAAAGGGAACCTGAGTGAACAAATAACACAACAATGACATACTTATTTCATTTATTTCATAAACACAAAGTTATGCAACACCCAATGCCCCTGTGTGAAAAAGTAATCGCCCCCTTATCCTCAATAACTGGTTGTGCCACCTTTAGCTGCAATGACTCCAACCAAACGCTTCCTGTAGTTGTTTGTCAGTCTCTCACGTCGCTGTGGAGGAATTTTGTCCCACTCTTCCATGCAGAACTGCTTTAACTCAGCGACATTTGTGGGTTTTCAAGCATGAACTGCTCGTTTCAAGTCCTGCCACAATATCTCAATTAGGGCTGTTTTCACCCTCTCCACTGCGGCCCCATCAATGTGGATGAGGAAGTGCTCTCTCTGCTGTCTCCTGAAGTCCACGATCAGCCCCTTTGTTTTGTTGACATTGAGGGAGAGGTTATTTTCCTGGCACCACTCCGCCAGGGCCCTCTCCTCCTCCCTGTAGGCTGTCACATCATTGTTGGTAATCAGGCCTACTACTGTTGTGTCGTCTGCAAACTTGATGATTGAGTTGGAGGCGTGCTTGGCCACGCAGTCATGGGTGAACAGGGAGTACAGGAGGGGGCTGAGCACGCACCCTTGTGGGGCCCCTGTGTTGAGGATCAACGTAATGGAGGTGTTGTTGCCTACCTTCACCACCTGGGGGCGGCCCGTCAGGAAGTCCAGGACCCAGTTGCACAGGGCTGGGTTCAGACCCAGGGCCCTGAACTTAGTGATGAGCTTGGAGGGTACTATGGTGTTGAACGCTGAGCTGTAGTCGATAAACAGCATTCTGACGTAGGTATTCCTCGTATCCAGATGGGATAGGGCAGTGTGCAGTGCAATGGCGATTGCATGATCCGTGGATCTTTTGGAGCTGAATGCAAATTGTAGCGGGTGTCAGGTAAGGTGGAGGTGATATGATCCTTAACTAGCCTCTCAAAGCACTTCACGATGACAGAGTTGAGTGCTACGGGGCGATAGTCATTTAGTTCAGCTACCTTCGCTTTCTTGGATACAGGAACAATGATGGACATCTTGAAGCACATTTTCTGCAAATGTTTATTTATTGTTTACCCTTATTTGACCAGATAAGTTGACTGAGAACACATTCTCATTTACAGCAACGACCTGGGGAATAGTTACAGGGGAGAGGAGGAGGAATGAATGAGCCAATTAGAAGCTGGAGATGATTAGATGGCCTTGATGGTATGAGGGCCAGATTGGTGTGAGAGTGTACTCCGTGACAAGCCCTCAGGAGTATATCGCCCTGTCTCTGCCACAGCAGGAGAAATCAGTGTTGTCTACCATTATAACACAGCGTTATCGTCGTACTTTTACAGATGTTCATATTCAAAGAGGTGTTGTCAGTCATAATCTTGTACCCATAAAGTTGAATCCCATTTTGTTAGCTCTGTTACTGTTAGCTCAAATGGGATGCCCACTGTGGCTAGCATAAGCTCAACAAGTGCTATTAGTTCAAATGTTAATTCCATAAAAATGGATATCCCCTCAGTTTCCAAATCACATAAGGGGCTTGGACTGTTGCACTTCAAAGTAAAAAAATGGACCTTCTTGATATCTGGGTGCAGGACACGAGCCCTGAAATTCTGGTTCTTACAGAGACTTGGCTGAAAGATTTGGTCTCGAATAAGGACATTGACATTTGTGATTACAATATCTTCAGGTGTGACAAATCGCAAAAAAAGGGTGAGGAGTGGCTATTTATGTAAAATCAACATTCACCACATCATGTTCTCTAAATATTACTGTTCCTAAGAAATTTGAAATGTTGTGTATAGATGTGGCCATAAGTGGATGCCGTTGGTACGATTTCTGAGTATTTAAGTCCTTTTCTGTCATCCAAATTAGTCGTTTTAGGGGATTTTAATCTAGATTGGTTTACCCCGGCCGCAGATGATTTTAAGAATATTTGTCTTGACTTTAACCTGACTCAACTGATTTCAAAACCCACACAGATTAATGTAAAAAACAACAATCCAAAATCCTTGCTGATTGACCAAATTCTGACAAATTGCCCCCGCAAATCTCTGCGATCACTGTCATATTGCATGTATTAGAGATACCCAACAGAAAAACACTGATCCTCATTTAATTATGAAGATACATTTTTTTTATCTCCCCAAGGGTTTCTTCATGACATGCATTACTCAGCGCTTTCCTCTATCAACTTCATGCCTGACCCTGAATTGGCTTTATAATTTTTCTCATCTATTTAAATCTCTGGCAGATAAGCACGACTCCTTCAAACGCCTTAGAGTCAAAGGCAGATAAGCACGACTCCTTCAAACGCCTTAGAGTCAAAAATAGAACAAATCCTTGGTTCTCTATAGAACTTTCAGATCTCATTATGATCAGAAATCAGTCCTGGGCCAAGCATTGTGCTGCCCTTTTCATAGACCTGTCAAAGACTTTCGATGCTGTTGACCAGCCATTATTAATTAGTAGACTGTTTGAAATTGGCCTAGGTCAGGCAGCCTGCAATTGGTTTGAAAACTACCTGACAGACAGGACACAATATGTTTCGTCTGATGGTGTTAAGTCAGGTTTCCTTGATATTACTAAACATGTCCCACAAGGGTCGATTCTGGCCCCTGTACTTTTTACTATCTATATAAACAATATTGGTTTGCCTGTAAGAAATTGTAACCTCCACTTGTATGTGGATGATACTGTTGTGTATTCTGTTGCCCCTTCTGTTGAAAAGGCTTTCAGAACTGCCCTTTTTGCTTTGCAGAAAGCTTTTGTTGAACTGAAATTGGAACTTAATGCAGGTAAAACTAAGTATATGTTATTTTCCAAAAAGCCTAAAAATGCATCTGATGATTTATGTATACAGTACATTCGGAAAGTATTCAGACCCATTTACTTTTTCCAGATTTTGTTACATTACAGCCTTATTCTAAAATGGATTAAATACATTTTTCCCCTCATCAATCTACACACAATACCCCATAATGACAAAGTGAAAACAGGTTTTTAGAAATGTTTGTACATGTATATTAAAATATATAACTGAAATGCCTTATTTACATAAGTATTCATACCATTTGCTATGAGACTCGAAATTGAGCTCAGGTGCATCCTGTTTCCATTGATCATCTTTGAGATTTTTCTACAACTTGAATGGAGTCCACCTGTGGTAAATTCAATTGATTGGACATGATTTGGAAAGGCACACACCTATCTATATAAGGTCCCACAGTTGACAGTGCATGTCAGAGCAAAAACCAAGCCATGAGGTCAAAGGAATTATCCGTAGAGCTCCGAGAGATGATTGTGTCGAGGCACAGATCTGGGGAAGGGTACCTAAAAATTATGCAGCATTGAAGGTCCCCAAGAACACAGTGGCCTCCATCATTCTTAAATGGAAGAAGTTTGGAACCACCAAGACTCTTCCTAGAGCTGGCCGCCTGGCCAAACTGAGCAATCGGGGGAGAAGGGCCTTGGTCAGGGAGGTGACCATGAACCCGATTGTCACTCTGACAGAGCTCCAGAGTTCCTCTGTGGAGATGGGAGAACCTTTCAGAAGGACAACCATCTCTGCAGCACTCCACCAATCAGGCCTTTATGGTAGTGGCCAGATGGAAACCACTCTTTAGTAAAAGGCACAAGACAGCCCACTTAGAGTTTCCCAAAAGGAACCTAATGACTCTCAGACCATGAGAAACATGATTCTCTGGTCTGATGAAACCAAGATTGAACTCTTTGGCCTGAATACCAAGCGTCACGTCTGGAGGAAACATGCCACCATCCCTTCGGTGAAGCATGGTGGTGGCAGCATCAGCTGTGGGGATGTTTTTCAGCTGCAGGGACTGGGAATCTAGTCAGGATCGAGGGAAAGATGAACGGAGCAAAGTACAGAGAGATCCTTGATGAAAACCTGCTCCAGATCACTCAGGACCTCAGACTGGGGTGAAGGTTCACCTTCCAACAGGACAACGACCCTAAGCAGACAGCCAAGACAACGCAGGAGTGGCTTCGGGACAAGTCTCTGAATGTCCTTGAGTGGCCCAGCCAGAGCCTGGACTTGAACTCGATCTAACATCTCTGGAGAGACCTGAAAATAGCTGTGCAGTGACACTCCCCATCCAACCTGATCTGCAGAGAAGAATGGGAGAAACTCCCCAAATACAGGTGTGCCAAGCTTGTAGCGTCATACCCAAGAAGACTCAAGGCTGTAATCACTGCCAAAGGTGCTTCAACAAAGTACTGAGTAAAGGATCTGAATACTTATGTAAATGTGGTATTTCATTGTATTTATTTTTATGTGCAAAAAAATCAAAAAAACTGTTTTTGCTTTGTCATTATGGGGTATTGTGTGTAGATTGATGAGGGTAAAAAAACGTTTTAATCCATTTTAGAATAAGGCCATAACAAGGCCCGTAACAAAATGTGGAAAAAGTCAAGCGGTCTGAATACTTTCCGAATGCACTGTATGTCCATTGGATGGTGCCCACACTGATCGTGTCCCCACTTATAAATATCTGGGTATCTGGATTGACAAAAATCTATCTTTCAAAAAGCATATTGATGAGTTAGTTAAGAATTAAAATGGGCTTCCTTTATAGGAATAGATCATGTATTTCGTTTAATAGCAGATAGAAAACAAAATCATTCAGTCGACATTCATACGGGTTATAGATTATGGTGATATCATCTATGAATGCGGCAGCCACTGTATTGAAGCCATTGGACGCAGTTTATCACAGCGCACTGCGCATTATTACGGGCAACAGGTTCAGTACACATCACTGCTTTCTGTATCAGAATGTAGGCTGACCCTCTTTAAAGTCTCGTAGATCTATGCATTGCACAATTTTTCTTTATAAAGCCCTCTTGCACAAATTTCCGCCATACCTTATATCATTGTTAACCTACAGACGTACGAGCTACCAGACCCGGTCTCAGGGATGGATAACTCTGGATATCCCTTTGATCTCCACTGAGTTAGATAAAACTGCTTTTTAGTTTTTTTTGCACCTTCCTTGTGGAATAATCTCCAGAACTCTAAAAAATGTTATGTTTTGGTACCACTAGGGCAATTTAGATGGCTGATTGATTACCTTTTTACTGGAGAATGTTGTTTGTTTTTTATGATTGTATTTTGTAATTTGATAACTGGGTTATATTTGTAAATATTTTACATTTGTATGATTGTGTACATGCAGGGCTCCCTTGGAAAAGAGGACTTGGTCTCAACGGGATTTCCCTGCTTAAATAAAGGTATAGAAAATGGTTAAATTAGGGCTGGAGCAAAACCCTCTAGCTCCCTTTCCCTGCTTTAACCCTGTATTTAATAGAGTTGTCCCCCAGCTGGAATAAAGGGTTTTATGATGCCACTCACCTGCGGTCCTCCTCTCCAGAGCCGAAGGGATTGGCCAGTGTGAAAGGGGGAGGGGCTCCTGCTGACTGTACTCTGCAGGACAAACACACACACACACAGATAGAAAGAGAGAGGTGGGGGAGAGAGATTATTTGAACATCATTACAACACTGTATATATACTTAATATGACATTTGAAATGTTTCTATTCCTTTGAAACCTGTGTGAGTGTAATGTTTACTGTTCATTTTTTATTGGTTATTTCACTTTTGTTTATTATCTATTTCATTTGCTTTGGCAATGTAAACACATGTTTCCCATGCCAATAAAGCCCTTTGAATTGAAGAGAGAGAGAGAGAGAGAGAGAGAGAGAGAGAGAGAGAGAGAGAGAGAGAGAGAGCAGAGAGAGAGAGAGAGAGAGAGAGAGAGAGAGAGAGAGAGAGAGAGAGAGAGAGAGAGAGAGAGAGAGAGAGAGAGAGAGAGAGAGAGAGAGAGAGAGAGACAGAGATGGGTGATAACAGAAATACTTTGTGTTGGTTTTATGGCTAGTATTAAGTGCATGGAAAGTTTCCCTTTGACCTCTACCTGAGGTGCTACATAAACAGGCTCCTTCTGAACTCTGACCCCTCTCTCTCTCACCTCTGTTGTTGTTACCACCCAGGGACAGGATGTGATGTAATCCAGTGCCCTTACCTGAGAGTTCCCTTAACATCATACTTCCTGTCTCTGTTATTCCTACATGACCTGAAAGACAGTCCAACAGTATAGCCTACATTCCTAGTTCTCATCACTGGACCAGTGATGTACTAGGCTAGCTGGCATTGACTGACTGCTCAGTGCCCACTATTATTCTGGCAAACAACCATGCAGTCACACCTCCTGAAGGTTCACATCTCAGAGGCTGTTGTGATGTGAGCTCACATACAGTACATACCATCTAGTCATGTTGTCTGACAGGCTCACCAATAACTAATATAAACAACAAAATAACGACATAACATAACCCAGCCATTCAACTGAACTTGAAACGTCACCCTGCTGGAAAATCCAGTTTAGACCAGTTTGGATTTTGAGCTGGTCATTTTTAAAACCTTGACGCCAAATTCTCTCTGCTCTATACTTTCACTGCGCGCTACACTGTGTGTGTTCGTGTCGGGGCCTACCTTTGGTCCTCGGGCACCTGTGGCTCGGACACACACTGGTGCGCGAACAGGAGCAGGGAAAGCATACCTGTCACCAGCACGTCAGCGCCAGACTCTAACGATGCACCTGCAAGCACGACAAGTGCTGTCGCTATCATTCTTCAGCTCCGACATTAAACATTGTAGGCGTGTTGTATATAACATTTAGGCCGATCATTTACTTATTAAAACATTTGGAATTGTTATTCTGCAACAAATGTGTAATAACCGTAGGTTATGAGAAATAATCATCATAACGTAAAGCAGTGATTTAAAACATTTCCATTATTCCCAATGAGTTATAGTGATGCTAATGCTGCAACATTGTATCCATCTGGTGCTACAAAAGTCTCAATCTCTCACTCAAAATGTAACCTATCAGTTATGATGTGTTACATGTTTGCAATCGTACATCGCAATGTTGTCATATCTTACCTGTTGGCCTGTTTGATGAGTAGATAGACAAACGCATCCTAACGTCCTGTTGTAAATTCAGATTGTGATTTCATAGCGGGAGATTCTACCTTTCAGCCCAACCCTCGCGACCTCCGGTAATATCTACACTGCACTGCGCAACAGCGAGAGGCCAGGGCCGCAGTGGAATAATTTCAAAATACATCCCTCCTTCCTCCCTTTCCTTAAAGTAATCACTGATCTGACATGACAGGAGAGTTGGAAGATATATGGAGCCTCTGATTACATCTATCTAGTTTTGTTGACTTTAGATAATACATATCCTCGTGGAGAGGAGTAATTAAAAAAGTAATAAAATGAAGGAAGGATGTATTTTGAAAGTATTCGAACTGGAATCTGTTTTGGTCAAGGACAAGATCCACGTGGAACCCCGGGCGAGGAAAGGAGAGGAGATGACGTAGTTTCGGGAGTCAAGTGGCAGGGAGGGCCTCTCGTCTAAGGCGTGCAGTCCTGGTCTCTAAATGAGCGAGACTCTATCATCGTCATGATCGAGGAGACTGCTCTCTCTCTTCTCCTTCTCTATCTATCGTCTACGATCTTCTCTCTCTCTCTCTCTCTCTCTACTCTCATCTATCTATCTCTCTCTCTCTCTTCTCTCTCTCTCCTCTCTCTCTCTCTCTCAGCCCTATACTGCGATTGCCACGTTAGCTGCAGCTGACTAGGCACGAATCAGGCGGGATTTTATAGAATGTGTGTGTTTGCGGCTCCATTCCTACTGTTTTGCAGTGTTTTTTTCCCCTGCCTCTCTTTCTCTCTCATGTACAAACTGTAGGCTACTTTTCTACATGGATTATGAGCGCGGATCGCCACCAAAGGGTGCGCACTAGTAGTAGCTCACTCATACTGTCTCACAGGTAGACAACATTGGTCCAATACCTACTCTTCATTTAGAACTGACATGACAACATTCACCTTTATTTATAATGTCGCTTTTGACTAGACACATTCACTAATTTCCTTTTGGAACATGTTTTAGGAAATAATTTAGCCTACTTGTCTCTCTCTGGGAAGGCTTGGTGTAGGAGACTGTAGTAGGGTGTAGCTGCTCTGTCAGAGAGTTGAAACAATGATTGGCCCAAAGGGCAATAGGTTCATATCAGTGCATGTGTGTTAATGTATATGTATATGTGTGTGTATGTGTGCGTGCGTGTGTGTATGTGTGTGTGTGCGTGTGTGTATGTGTGTGTGTATGTGTGCATGTGTGTGTTTATGTGTGTGTGTTTATGTGCGTGTGTGTACATGTGTGGCGGCAGGTAGCTTAGTGGGTAAGAGCGTTGTGCCAGTAACCGAAAGGTCGCTGGTTCTAATCCCCGAGCCGACTAGGTGAAAATCTGTCAATGTGCCCTTGAGCAAGGCACTTAACCCTAATTGCTCCTGTAAGTCGCTCTGGATAAGAGCGTCTGCTAAATGACTAAAATGTAAATGTAATGTGTGTACTGTGAATGTGTGACCTCATTACTGTAGTGTGTTCCACTGTGATGGTTTGTTTTGACCACTAGATGGTAATCTAGTCTCACTAGCAGATGTCCACCCTGTGCTGTTGCTCACTCTCTCACTTGACAGGGAAATAAAGCTTGTCTGACACACACACTATTGTCTAAGGGAGGAGAGTGAAAACAGAGGAGGGAGAGATGGAGGGAGGGGAGTGCAAACAGAGGAGGGAGAGATGGAGGGAGGAGGGTGCAAACAGAGGAGGGAGAGATGGAGGGAGGAGGGTGCAAACAGAGGAGGAAGAGATGGAGGGAGGGAGGGAGGGGAGTGCAAACAGAGGAGGGAGAGATGGAGGGAGGGGAGTGCAAACAGAGGAGGGAGAGATGGAGGGAGGAGGGTGCAAACAGAGGAGGGAGAGATGGAGGGAGGAGGGTGCAAACAGAGGAGGAAGAGATGGAGGAAGAGATGGAGGGAGGGGAGTGCAAACAGAGGAGGGAGAGATGGAGGGAGAGATGGAGGGAGGAGGGTGCAAACAGAGGAGGGAGAGATGGAGGGAGGAGGGTGCAAACAGAGGAGGAAGAGATGGAGGGAGGGAGGGAGGGGAGTGCAAACAGAGGAGGGAGAGATGGAGGGAGGGGAGTGCAAACAGAGGAGGGAGAGATGGAGGCCTGTCCAGTGAGTGAGGGTGAGGGAGGGAGAAAAAGAGAGATGGAGGGATGGAGAGGGATGTACAAAGGAGATGATGGTGGACTACAGGAAAAGGAGGACCGAGCACGCCCCCATTCTCATCGACGGGGCTGTAGTGGAGCAGGTTGAGAGCTTCAAGATCCTTGGTGTCCACATCACCAGCAAACTATCATGGTCCAAACACACCAAGACAGTCGTGAAGAGGGCACGACAAACCCTATTCCCCCTCAGGAGACTGAAAAGATTTGGCATGGGTCCTCAGATCCTCAAAAAGTTATACAGCTGCACCATCGAGAGCATCCTGACTGGTTGCATCACTGCCTGGTATGGCAACTGCTCGGCGTCCGAACGCAAGGCACTACAGAGGGTAGTGCGTACGGCCCAGTACATCACTGGGGCCAAGCTTCCTGCCATCCAGGACCTCTATACCAGGTGGTGACAGAGGAAGCCCCTAAACATTGCCAAAGACTCCAGCCACCCTAGTCATAGACTGTTCTCTCTGCTATCGCACGGCAAGCGGTACCGGAGCGCCAAGTCTAGGTTCAAAAGGCTTCTTAACAGCTTCTACCCCCAAGCCATAAGACTCCTGAACAGCTAATCAAATGGCTACCCAGACTATTTGCATTGTCCCCACCCCCTCTTTTACGCTGCTGCTACTCTCTGTTTATTATCTATGCATAGTCACTTTAACTCTACCCACATGTACATATTACCTCAATTACCTCGACTGACCGGTGCCCCCGCACATTGACTCGGTACCGGTACCTCCTGTATATAGCCTCACTACTGTTCTTTTTACTGCTGCTCTTTCATTATTATTATTATTTTTTTATTTTTTTATTTTTTCTTTATCTATTTTTTACTTAGCACTTATTTTTCTTAAAACTGCATTGTTGGTTAAGGGCTTGTAAGTAAGCATTTCACTGTAAGGTCTACACCTGTTGTATTCGGCACATGTGACAAATATAATTTGATTTGATTTGATTTGATGGAGAGGGGGAGAGAGATGAAAGTGTTGGGTAACAGCAGGGAGCGGAAGATGTTCTCAGCATGATCCCTGTGTTGGAGAGCCAGGCTGGGAGTAAGGGAGAGACTGTGACATGCACACACACACACACACACACACACACACACACACACACACACACACATACACACACACGCACACACACACATGCACACATACATTCACACACACACATACACACACACACACACACACACACACACACACACACACACACACACATACACACACACAAACACACACACACACACACACACACACACACACACACACATGCACACATACACACTTTATATTTGTAACACAGTCATACTTGACATAGCACATTCATAATGTATACTGTATATCCTATTGTGTACAAATCCGTTTTATTACTATGCATACTACTTCCCTCTAATTACTTGTTCTTTTTGATTGACTGTTGGTTATTATTGATATTGATATTGTACTGCATTGTTGAGAGAGCTAGCATGGAAGCATTTCACTGCACCTTTTATACCTGCTGTAGACTGTGTACACGAGCGAATACAATTTGATTTGACACACAAACACACACACACAAACACACAAAAACACACACACACACACACACACAGAAACACACCACACACACACACACACACACACACACACACACACACACACACACACACACACACACACACACACACACACACACACAGACACACAGACACACACACACACACACACACTCACACACACACACACACACACACAGTGAGAGATGGGTCCTCCAGGACATAGTCATATTGTCAGTTCCTCTGTGTAGACTCAACCTCCTGACCCCAAAATGTCCAGGAAGATCGCTCAAGATTGACTTCGAAATTGGACGTGTGTCCATATCCTGAGGAAAATGCCTTCAAAACCGGCCACTAGGGGCAACAGTGAGTGCTATTACCATCAAGTAGGTTTGGGTTTTTCTAGGGCAGTGTGGAAGGGAATGGTGGATGGGCGTAAAGGTCATGTTTTCAATCCCAGTGGTTGACACTCATTTTAATTTATTTAAAAAAAATGTAATCCTATCCCAAACCTTAACCCTTAACTTAACCATTCGGAATAAATGCCTAAAAGTAATGTTTTAACTCTATCTGTCAATGGCTGAGGTGAATGTGGTGTGGGAGTCAGGCGCAGGACACCGAAGCTTAGTCCAACAAAGTTTACTAGTGCAACACAAGGCACAATACAAATCAACGGCCTCAACATAAACCAGAGGCGAGCGATTACGCAAACTCTGCGTAAACTACAAAAACAACAAACAGAGAAAACACGCAGCACTAACGGACAGGCGAATAACAACACACAAACTAACCAACACAAAACAGGCAACTTATAGGACACATAATCAGACACAAACGGACACAGGTGCAATAGACAGACAAAAGCAATCAAACACTGAAACATCTAACGGTGGCAGCTAGTACTCCGGGGACGGCGAACGCCGAAGCCTGCCCGAGCAAGGAGGAGGAGCAGCCTCGGCAGAATCCGTGACACTATCCCAAACCTTAACCCTTAACTTCGAAATTTGACGTTTGGAGAAACGGAACGATGCTGATCAGGAGCCAATCGAGGGTGTCAAATACACTTCTAAATGTTTGGAGCAACTTCGAAATTTGACGTTTAGAGACATGTGGATAAACCTCAGAATCTTAAGTATAATTGGTAAAACCGTGAGATATTGTTGAAATGGCTCCATATGGAAAAGAGCCGTCAGTGGATCATTTCCATTTCAGTGAAACACATTACATGAATGTGGTCACACACACACACACACACACACACACACACACACACACACACACACACACACACACACACACACACACACACACACA